TGTGCCCTTGCCTTTAACGTTATATACTCTGCTGCGATACAATGGTCGCGAGAGATTCTAAAAATAGAGTCACCTTTGCATCAAAGATAGGACAGTTATTATTAGAATAGTCTATCATTGTGTGCGAATCGCATCTCTGGATCAGATGGACTTCGGAGAAAAGGCATCGCAGGCAGTAATCCAGACTACACCACACGGAATCTGGCTTGCGCTCATGAGGGGAGCTTTATATCGGCTACCCATTGGGAGATCATCAAGTCCCTGGGGCAATGTACGATTTGGATGGCATGTCCTTGACCCTGACTCGCCGACCAGACATTTTCAAAGGGACAATGTTTCACTCGGGCACGGACGAACAGTAGGTGGACCATGGGAAAGGCGGGCTCGGGCGGAAGTGATGCTATTGTGCGGCATTGACTGGGCTGGGGGATGGGGTGAGTAGACTAAGTGGACTTAGTTGGAACCCGAGGGACCGCCGATCCCTATGCGCTCGTAGTGGCTGATGATCCGACCACTTGTGCTCGGCGTTAACAGCTGGCACTCTAATGGACTGCTTAGCGCCGCATAGAATAATTGCACATGACAGCTGAAACTAGTTATATATTGACCGTCGAACTTCAAACTCCATCCAACAATTTATCGACTGTTCCTCGACATCTCATTTCTGCCGGCATGGAGGACAACCTAGACGAAATATCCGCTCAAGGCTCCTCCTCAGTGGCTTATCGGCCCCAAGGCAAACGCATTCGAGTCATACAGCAGTTTGTAGAAACAATTCTTGAGGATGACACAGCTTCTGAACCACCACGCCAGCCTTCTGAGCAAGATGAAGAAGTACACCTGTACGATTTCATCGGTGCTGTAGGCATCCAGAAGGATCGTCGAGGGAAGAAGTCAGTGCGGTATCACGTCAAATGGAAAGGCTATGGTATCAAGGCTATGACGTGGGAACCAGAGGGCCATATTTTTGAAGAAGATTTGCTGAAGTTATGGTCAAAGTATGGTCGGATCTACGTCCACAAAAGCAAGGGCCGGCAGGCAATCAGGCATTGTAAGCAGCAGCTCCATCAATATGATCCAACAGAAGTCCACGGTAGCAAAGCTCCGGAAAAGGCTCAGGCCCACCACGTCACACCACCGGGATCGCCGGAGAATATCGAAGAGCCTTGTGAGCAGAATGTTGAACGAGATGGTGGCGGCGATGGTCTTCTTCTTTCCAAAAATCCTAAAGCACCAGCAGAATTGGATGGTGCCGATGGTGATGATTTGCCTCGATGTACTCCGCCGACCTCGCCTACGGCTCGTCACCCCCCTGCACCTTCACAACAAGGCTTTGATCGGCTCGGTGACGCACATCAACATACTTTGGAAATCATCCCTCAACTCGAGGTTCTTGAGACGTCTCAGGGGCTGTTGAACGAAGAGGTTACGCCCTCGAGCCAATCAGACATTCATGAGATCAACCATACGGAGAGGATCGACCCAGCGTCTGTGGTTAGCGATGTGTCTGTACATCATGCAAGCATCTCGCACGATAAGGTGAGAAGGAAAAAGTGGTTCACTCGCACCACAACCGGCTGCCTCTCCTGTCGCAGAAGAAGAGTGAAATGCGACGAACATCGCCCGTCATGTGAGTAATTACCTGCTCCTCTAGTATAATAAGGCTCCATCACAAGTCTGGTTCATCTACTCACATGCTGTCAGGTATTAATTGTGTTCGTCGGAAGTTGCCTTGTGAAGGATACGATTCAGGTCCTCAATGGATGAAATCCCAGCCTACCACGATGACCCCCATGGGACGGGATCTCGGCATGATGGACATGACTATGCTTGGACTGGCCCAACATTCCGAGAGCCATGGTTGGATATCAAGCCATTTTCTCCCTAACAAGTGTCTGAGCCACTCCGACGAGTATCACAAGAAGCCAAAATACCTTCCAAGTCTAGCAGAGCTGGATCGGGCGACATCGGGAAACGATGGTCATGCAGAATGGCCTCTGAAACCCAAAGGCGCCCACGGACAGCAAAGCTCCTTATTGACGGAGGTTACTCCGAGACCTATACAGTCTTCAAATCTCCGCCCTATCTCATACTACACTCGCGCCTTGTCAATCTATACGGGCCCTCCACTGCCGGTCGAACCGTCTGTACTATATGGCAGTGACATTGCCCAACAATCGCGACTTGGAGACTTGCCCAGCCCACTTCGGCGCATTACCGAACTATACGACCTTTCTTCAGCCGGTCGAGCCCTCTTCACCAACCGTGAGTGACATTTCCTGATCAC